GTTTATCGAACAGCTATCTTGGCTTATTTATATCTATTTTTCATGAAAATGTTTTAATTTTTTTTTAAAAGACATCTTAAACCCATCATTATCACCATGTTACACAGATGAATAAATACACACATATACATATACATACATGCATATTTTTCTAGTGAAGCTCAGAATTACATATTGAAACAGAAACTTTAACTTACGTGTATGAAGGGATATGCTGAGTTCGAGAACTTGGGCTAACACTGTCAAGGATGAAACACATCCTAAATTACTTAAATTTACTATTAATATAAAATTGTCTAGTATGAAATATAAATGTTAAGGCCCAAATGCATATTACACTGATTCAGCAAAGAATAATTGCCTTCACACACATACTTCCAGCAATGCCCAAACAGATGTTCTTGGAGAGCAAGGCATGAAGACAGTAGACCCAATAATATGTGTATGCAATGCCGCATTGCATATGCAAAAGGCATTTTGATGGCACAATGCTACTTCAGTCATTATGCCCTTCCCCTTCCACCCCCTGCAGACTGTGTGGCATCCATATATCTGGCTTATTCTGGTGCAAAGACAGTCCACCAACTGTTTTTTGACAGGATGGGATTTTACAGCATTATCTTCAGACCACCCTAGCTCACTGTCAAGGCAACCTTTACCTCTCTTTTCTGTTTCACGTCAAAAGCAGTGTTTTCCAACTTCTGCTGGCACAACCAGCGCACTACAGTCTGCTTGCTGCACTATATTAGTTGCTGTGCACTGTGGGATGGGGAAGAGGAATCCACCCTCCCCTCCAGACACTGGTTGCTGCTCTCCACACCTATTCCATCCTTGGTTACTAAGCTGCCTGTTTCCCTGGTGGAGTGGAGGAACACTGGAACTTTTCTTTAACTGGCTCATTAGTGGGCTTTCTTTTTTTCAAGTTCATCAGTAGAATAGTGAAACTATTCACCTTTTTTTTCTTTTTTTTAACCAGCTGAAATTGAAAGTGCTCTGCCAGTTACCTCTGATAGGAAGAACAGTAAAAAAAGTTCTGTTTTCTTCCTTTATTTTCATTGGTCTGTTGATATATAATTTTCCCACATTTATTCCAGAATGATTAACAAGACAAATTTGATATTTCTACATCAGTCCAGAACTGGGAGTATCAATTAATTCAACAACCTTTACTAAAAAGGAAAAGTTTACAACAAGGGAGTAGTTGGCCAGGGATGAAAAACTACAGATTTGATATCATCTAGCACCTTGTCTTTCCTGCATTAAGCATCAGCAATTCTAGCAATAAATAATCTACAGCATTCAAGATGGTCATCGGCCAGAATCACCGATGGGCACCTCTTTATATTATGTGCCAAATTCATTAACTATTACTGCCAGCAGAAGAGGCACACTAAAGCCGATTAAAATAAATAGGAGAATATTGAGCTGTGATGACTTGGTCACTGACCTTCTAAAGTCCTTATCATACTGGGGGAACATTTTTAAAAGAATGTCAACTCTGCAAAATTAAAACATACACCTGACTGTTAAACCTTTAAACATCTCATTACAAAAAGTAGAGCACAAACACATGCAATATCTGTAAATATTCTCAGATTATAGAAAAATGAAACTCACAAATTTATCGGTCTGTCTGGTGCTGTAAAGTTTCTCCTTTGAAATCTGTCCCAGAGGCCTCCGACAACCTAGCATGATAATTAAAGTGTGGGGTTTTTTTGTATGTGATTAGGTATATTACAATTAGCATTACTATTTTCACTGTATCATTGTATTTTTCATCACAGCAAAATACTTTATAAATTGTAGCTCATTTCCTGCAGCCTCAAGTTATCAGGCCATCAGATGAAAAAACTGATGGCATATATTGCAACACAATTTGTGCAAACTTTTCTAAACTGAAAGAATCAAAATATTGTAACAGGTACAGTCAGTAGATCAGAAAGGCAGAATGAGAACATTTTAGGGAGCCCTTAAAATGGCAAACCTTAATTTTAACCCTATGACCCTGATAAGTTACTGAGGAGGAGCCAACATCTATCTTAACTCCACTGTAAGTTCATGCCCGGACAAAAGGCAGAGAAGGAGAGATCTTTTTCTGCAAGTCGAGTAGTCAGATTGCTTTTAATAACTGTGTAAATATTGTTTAGTCTGTGTAGCTTCCCTCATCCAAGAGATTTATCAAGCTTTTTGCTAATACTGTATGCAATTATTGCAAATAAAGTTACATATGAAATCCAGTAACCTTTTCTCAACATTTCTATATAAAACATGGCTGGAATATATAAGTCATAATTTTTAAAGTTGCAGGATTTGGAATTGTTCATTGAAAGTTTATGTATTTATCATTTATACTCCTCCTTTCAACAATGCAGAAAATCCTCAAAGCAACTTAGGACTTTATAATTGTGGTGCTTTCAAATGAATATCCTTTCTGCCCCCAACAGCTCTTATTCCATAATTAAAACACTGCCAGAATTCAGTAGCATGTTTTGATTATTTCTACACCAATTTGCTAACCAAGACACTGTGGGAATTGGCATATGTACATGTTTGGGAGTGCATAGAATCCACAGAGAACTCACTGTCAATCAGCATCTGCACTCCAGGCCATTAGCTGAGCACAGAGAACAATTAGCCAAACACCAGCTGATGGTTCTCCTTTGCCAGCTAGTAATGAATATCTCCTCCACTCAGTTTCATACCAAAGCAAATGCCTTCCCTCTCATAAAAAAGGAAAAATATATTAATATGGCTGTTGTTTGCATGGGATAGTAGACTTTATCCTTATGCTAGCAAGACAATACTGTATTTCTATATTAGCATCGTGTCTGCCCTGGTTTCTTTCTTGGAGAATTAGATAGCTGAGGGGCTGAGAAGAAGAACCTAAGTTATCTGTTTTGATTGAAGCCTCAGTTCAAGGAAGAGAGGATCAAGCAGAATACACTTCTGTGAGCTGCTTTCCTAGCCTTGCCATCACCCCATCATGGCAGGTTCCCAAATGGGCTAGAGCTGGGGCAAGCTAGGCATTGCCTCCCATCACGGCTGAAGATTCAGGGGACTCAACCGGAGGGTATCTGGCACAGTAAAGGATGGGATCTGCCACTGCACTTTAGTCCTGTGTTTGCTTATCCCACATAAGGATAATGAAATGGACTTCACGGACTTGGCTTATTTCTGCTGCTGGTTCATATCGCTTGCTTGCAGAAGTATCAGCCATTGGTTCTAATGTTGAATTTGAAGGCTTGACTTTGGGAGATAGCATATAATCCCAGGGAACTTCTTCATATCCTCTAGAGCACCCATTAAAATAAAAGGAAAATGATTTTATTACAGCTAGTTTATAAGGCAATCAAAGTCACTCAAATAAATAACCAGTTTTGCAAAGAGGAACAAATTTCACAAGCCTTGATCAAAGAGGCTTTAATGATTAATGGTTAATTGATTATACACATTAAAACTAGAGAAAAGTTTGTTTTCTTTATTTACAAGGAAGGAATTTAAGATAGGCTGCTTCTTTGAGGATAATTTATTTATTTATGTATCATCGTTAAAAAGCAGCTCTGGGTGGTTTACAGAAAAGATAAAATCAATTAAAATACAATATAAAAACAAACTTAATAATAAATACATTCCAAAAATGGTGGGAATTGGTGAATAGCTCAGGGAGCATCATCAGCACGCCAGCCACCCCCAGGGACGATTAGAGCTCTTATCGCCCCACACAGGCTGGCAAAGCCAGGTCTTTAATCCTTTCTGGAAAGCCAGGAGGGTAGGAGCCTGCTGCACCTCTGGGGGAGAATATTCTGAAGGGTGGGGGCAATGGCAGAGAAGACTCTCCTCCTGGGCCTTGCCAGCTGACATTCTCTCGCTGATAGAGTCCACAACATGCCCTCTCTGCCTCCCCTCTCTGCCTGACCAATATGCCCTTTCTGCCTGACAATTATAATGTGTACACATATTGCAAAACATGGATTACCAATGTCTCCAAAATGAACAATTTATAATATGTATAATTTCCAGAGTAGTAGCCATTTTAGTCCATTACAACGTATACAAGTATGTAAGGGATAGAGTTTGCACTGTAACATTGTGATGGATGTTTCAACATTTGACCTCTTTTGGCCCCCATGGTGGGTACCTATGATGACTTCTTAGACTAATGATCAGTGTGGTGGTGGTGGTGGTAGGAAAGCTTTAAAATCAAGCTGTAAGTTAAAAGGGATAGCTTTTTATTTAATATGTGTGTTACACAGTACCTGCTCTTTGAGGTAGGCAAGGTCAAAACACAGATACTGCAGGAATTCCAGAAATGCTACTTTATTGCTGTAGGTATAATAACAGAATTCTGAAAGCCAAGTTTCTCTCTGTTCTATCTTATAATAAACAAAATCAAGGCAAGGTTATTCTGAGTTTCTTCCTTGTGCTTCCTTCTATCTCTTGTCCAAATCCCTCCTTAACACTTGCTCATACCTGCCCCGAGGTCAGCTCTAAATTCCTTTACACCCCATAAGAACACTCTTATGCATTCTGTACTAACACACTCAAAATTGAAAGAGAATTCTCCCCAGATAATCAAGTAGATTTGGAGTATGACTGGCTGGAGGGAAAGATAGAAAGTTGATGTTTAAGGATGATGAAAAGCTGAGAGTGAGTTGGAATAGATTACTTCTAAGATCAGTCCTATGATCTCTCTTTCACCACTTAACCAGTATCTGTATGGCTATAACTAATAACTACTTAAAGGAATTTTTTTATTTATATGACACATTTATATAGCCACCCATCTTACACAAAGTGACTCTGGGTGGCATAGAACAATTAAATAAAATAACAACCTGATTAAAAAAAAATCACTATAAAAAGATAAAAAGTGATTATAAAATGAAAACAATATCAAAAATTTTTTAAATTTTCAATTTTAAAATATACAACCCTCATGGAGAGAGTAGAATATCAATTACAGTGGAGCAATCTAAGAATGTCTCCAGTTCCCAAAGACCCCCAGGCCTGATGACATAACCACGTCTTGAGGGACTTCCTAAATGACAGCAGGGAAGATGTGAGCCTAACTTCAGGAGGGAGAACGTTCCACAAGGAGGGAGCCACTGCAGAGAAGGCCTGCCTCCTGGGACCCACCAAATGCAGATCCCTGGCCAATGAAACACATAGCATACCTTCCCTGCCAGATCTAATGGGATGGGCTGATGTAATCAGGGAGAGGCGGTCCCTCAGATAACCCGGCCCATGCCATGAAGGGCTTTAAAGAACAAAACCAGCACCTTGAATTGGACCCGGAAGTAAACTGGCAGCAAATGCAACTCACGAAGCAGAGGTGTAATATGTATTCTTCTACAAGCACACATAACCGCCCATGCCACTGCATTCTGCACCAGTTGAAACTTCTGGAGATTCTTCAAGGGCAGCCCCATGTATAGTACATTACAGTAGTCCAATCTGGAGGTGACTAGGGCATGAGTGACTGTAAGCAGAACCTCCTGATCCAGGAAGGGCATCTATCTATCTATCTATCTATCTATCTATCTATCTATCTATCTATCTATCTATCTATCTATCTATCTAGTTAGTATGCTGCCCATCTCCCCCAAAGGGTGACTCTGGGCAGCTCACAGGTAAAATCAGAAATCCCATCAACAATTAAAAATCCCCCATAAATAGTTAAAATAAATAATCCATTAGAAATCAATTGGCGCACAACACGAAGCTGTACAAAGGCCCTCATAGCCACGACTGCCACCTGTTCTTTGAGCAGGAGTCACGAGCCTAGGAGGACCCCTAGATTGCACACCAGATCTGTCTGGGGCAGTGCCACCCCGTATTGCACCCATATTATTAGCCTCACTCACTCAGGAAAGGAAATAGGATATGCAGCCTCTTGCCAGTGGATATGATCAGTAACAGGAGGAACACACAAAGAACTCAGAAGCTCAGTATCATAACATTCTTCCTTAAGAGAAACAGAAACTCACCTCTGAATTGTTGAGGCATACATATACTTTCGAGCTCTTTCATCTCTGCAGGGTTCAGAAGAAGTACTACTTGACTTAATAAGAAAATACAAAATGAAGCATATAGAAAACAATGCAGTGATCAGCATTCAGTTGAATTATTTACCAGACTATTTTTGAAGCATGTATGGATATGATTACTTCCTTCCCTGCTCCTGTACTTTAGAAATCATAGAGAAAAGTAACAGATAAAGTTAATTTACAGTGCTCAGCTTGTGATGGTATTTTAATCACATCTTCATTAGCCAAGTAATGGTAATCCTTCAATCTTCTAAAACTAGTTACTAAATAAGGAGCCTGCTCCCTCTGCTTGATCCTTTATTGGAAGCTTCACCTATGATATCTGCTGTTTAGTACTGGGTCAAAAGCAAAAGATCAGGTCCAGAATAAAGAATGGCAGTGCTTGTCTTGTTTTGGTCTTGAAGGGGATTCAGTGCTAGTTCATACTCTGTACTATGGACATGACTGCATTTGCAAATGCTTATAGTATAAAGTAATGAATCACTTAAAAATAATTGGAGTTGGTACAATTTCTTTCTTTTTAATGGAAATATTGTAGCAAAAATATTTGGTTGAATGAATACTTTTTAGATACTCAGTTATTTGAACATGGGTAACCTCTGTCTGAACTGAAGTTGCTTACACTTAAAGCATCCTAATTTTATTATCTGTGGTGGCATCTATTGTTGTTGTGGGAAAAACAGGAGATAGGAACATTATGCGCACTGCCTTGAGTTGTACAAATAAAGGGAGAGTAATTTGCTGAGATGGGGGGCTATATAAATTGACTAAATAAATAAATACATACATAATCTAATAATAAATAAAAATTAGATGAGATACCTTAAAATAAGTTCTGGAATGGGCTGTGACACTGAAATATGTGAGGACGAGTGTCACTGGTAGAGACCCTCTCTGAGTGTATGAGGTCTCTTTTCTCCATCATTGCTGACAATGCATCTATGAGCCTTGGAAGACAGTGTTGACAATATACCCAGAACACCATGCAACTTGAGGCTTGAGAATGTGTGCGTTTTCTGTGTTTTTTCTGTTGTTTTTGTGCCTATCTGAATGGAAGGTAAGGAGGAGTTTGTTGCTGGCCATCAGGTGGAAGACAGGGGCCGATTGTGTAATACTTACTGACCTCTGCGGAGCCCCTGGAGCCTTTGGAACCCCATCACTGCCCACAACCTGGAGGCTTCTCAGAGTGGTGCTGGAAATGGAGGTGCTTGGAGGTGGAGGTGGAGAGCATGGCGATGGTGTGGGTGAGCTGGAGGCCCACAGAATTGGAGGAGGCAGGCCTCAGAGGCACAGCAGTTGCCACAGCCAAAGTTTTGATCAGCTAGCAGCAGTCAGAGGCCAGCCTGGGTTTGGCCCTGGACTGTGGAGGCACTGTGGAGGCGCCATGGAGGCTGGCTGGGCTGCAAGCAGAGAGGCTTGGTGCTGTATGTGGTTGGGCTGCTCTAGAGGCCATTCCTGGTGCTGGCAGGCCCCTTGACTATGGCTGGCCTTTTGGCTGGCTTGGTGAGGCCAGTGGGGCCATCTGCAACTGACTGTAACTCCATGGACTTGGCCCATCTTCCACTTCCCCCCCCTCAGCCTGGGAGTAGAACTCTGGGTACAGACTGGCATTGTCAGTGCCTTGATTTGCTATACTGCTTTTAGGGGAGAGAGGGGGGTGCCCTGAAGAGGACTTGAAGGCATTTGGAGTAGGGCTGGCAGTGGTGGACTGAGTGCTATTTTTGTCATCTCGTTGCTGAAGGGTCTATGCTGGATGTAAGGTTTGCCCCATTCGACAGAGAAACTCCCTGACACGTGTGGTTCACAAAAGAGGTTTACTCATGCGTAACAAGCAAAGCCAGGACTGGCTTGGTACATTTACTTTACTCCTTTATAGTTGTCTCAATCCCCCCATGGGCCCCGTTATGGCAATCATGGATGGACCTGTCC